GCTTCTGCAATGCAAATTTTTGTCTAGAATGCACTTTTGGAAAACAACTTTTGAGGGCTTATTGCAACTCAGCTATTCAGAATATCTAAGTAGTTTATTAGACGAAATATGCTTAAAAGTGAGTTAAGAGATTATTTTCGAAATTTACACTTTTCCTCGCCTGGAACCTGTATGTTACGTAAAGGGCAATTGGTCTCGGCGGCGATAGCACCTGAGGTGCTTAGTCGGTCACTCATTCAGGAACTCGCGACGTCTCGAATTCTCTTAACCTTCGCGTAGTTAACGAATTCGGCTATCGACGCTGGTTTTGAGGCGCCGTACAATTTTTCAGTTTGCGAAAAAAAAAAAAACCAGCAATATTTCGCTTCCCAGCCATCTCTCTCCCTCAGATGTCTAGATCTATAGATCTGACGCCGGGACCGATAAAGAGACTTTATTTCAGTTGTCAGAATCCCTTCTCTGATCGAAGATTTCAACGATGAATGAGGAATCATTGGATATGATTTTGTTACCGTATTCGATGAAAGGGCACATTTATTTTAATCAACATAGTTATTTTGAATATTAAAATTGAAAACCCCTTAAGTGAATTGTATACGCATATCGTTTTGTTGATGACATATTTCTAAAGTCAAAATATTAGTTCGTTTAAAATTTTCAGAAAGCCGATAATTTCGATGTTGAATTATTTGAATATTTGGAATATTCAAACAGTCAAAAAAATAAACTGTTGGTAATAAACGAGCAGTCTCAATAACCTATTGGGCGAAACCACCACCTTAGTCCAAGATACCGATAAGTCGAAATAACCAGTAATACGCAACAACCGAGAAGTCAAGACAGCTGTCACGGAGCAATAACCAATAAGTCGATTGCTTTTTCTTCCCTTCGAAGAATCGACGTCTTCCTGTGAACCCGCACAGCCTTCGGGGGCGTTGGGCGCACTGCGGGGCGTCGAGCGAGGCCCGGGGCGATGATAAAGGCGCCCGCGGAAACCTCTCGCCCCCGCCCCGCCCCCGCCCCGT